CTCTCTCTCTCTCTCTCTCTCTCTCTCTCTCTCTCTCTCTCTCTCTCTCTCTCTCTCTCTCTCTCTCTCTCATACTCTGGAGTCTCTGTTATTGTATTTCTCCTCCTCTGCCGTCTTCTGTTTCAGCAATACACTGTAGATTTTGTCAGCCCTATTGGTCACTGTACAACTATGGTTTAAAGCTTTGTGGAGGTGAAACCAAGGCGTATACAGCAGAGTGCAAAGATCTCATTTGTACCTTTGACATTCTGTTCAAACTGGTATTTATTGAAATCTTAAATGACACCAAAACTCCTGAGCTGGATAAACGTTGAAAGTTCATTACCAACATGTGAAGCTTCTTTGGCCTCCTAAGGGGTAGTTGAACATGTCAAGTGACAATAATCTAATAGGAGGCACCATTTTGGAGCATAGCCATTCTCATAAGCATCTTGTTCAGTTTCTCCTGATTATCTTCTTACAAGCACACTTCTGTAACTCCCATCAATTTTAAACTTGCTTTTATCTGGTCATGCATTAGAAAAAAATGTAAAATGTCTTTGACCATTGCAACTTATGGACCTCATTCATTTTTACAGGTGCTAAAATAATTATGTGGTCAACCTTTTTTGTTATCTCTTTTGCAGTGTAGTGTTTTTTTATTTAGTCAATTCTAAATTTGACAGTTCACTTTTTTAGTATGATTTGGATGTAATTAAGTTTCCACAATACACAGAAGAGTGTCACACTGCCCTTTTCAGAGCTTTAGTTCTGTGATTTGACACTGAAACAATAAAACATATATATGTTATTTTATTGGTTGGAATAACAAAATAAGCTATTATAATTAGTTAGAGACATGAGAACAGAGCTGTTGTAACATAAAGGCACATTTTTAATTGCAACAGGTGAGCAATGACTGCAAGTAGGTTTATTTGAAAACAGGTGCATCAAATCCTTGTGTCACACACATCTTAACGTATACTAGGATTTTATCTGGGATAAAAAAACAATAAACTTAAAAAATAAATACATTTTGAATACAGTTAAATTGAGTGTGACCCTTTTAAAATCATAAAAAGGATGTCAGTTAACTGTATTAATGAGTAATTTTACAGGACACTTAATATTGAAAGTCATTCATTCAAAACATGAATCAATAGAATAGCCCTCTCCTATCTGGACTATATTCTTGGGTTGTAGATGTGTTTTCTGTTGATATAAGCAAGTAGAGTAGTTTGTAACTCCTGCATCCAGCTCAGTAGTAGTAAGCCTCAGGTAGTAAGCCTGATGACAGGCTTTAGTACTGTACTTAAAGCCCAGGGAGGCCACATAACCTTTGTGGACCATTGTGTTTGCTAACTAATGGGATCCCTTTAAGAGAGACTGTAATTGAAAACTGTCTACCGTGAGTCAGTGACTGCCCTCATGGCTCCGTTCCCAAAACACTGCTACTTTTTCCCAAAGCAAGGAAGATGAAGCATACAATCAGATTAAAATGGTTTTGGGGAGTTGAAGAGCTTGTTTTAAGTTGATTAAAGAGAAGGGATTTGGACAAAGGATGCAGGAGAGAGGAGTGTGTCAGAGAAAAGACAGACATCTATCTCTACTGCCGACACCCATGGAGGCAAACAAGAATTTACTTTGAATCAGTCCTCTGCCATCTTCTTTGTTAACACCTGAGGAGGTCATTATGATGCTGTTAGGATGAGTCGAGCAGGCCGGGCATGTAGACGTAGGCACATGTGCGCTAGGTGTGAACAGTCTGTCAGTCAGTCTGTATGTGAGAACTTTCTTTTCCCCTGGAGAGTCCTCTCCTCCTCTGACAGAAGAATGACAGAGACCTCATGGGAATTATGGCAGTGCCTCTTTCTCACTCTTTGTTTCTCACGTGGACTGACAGATCACAAATTCACAACAATAGGGCCTATTTTAATACATTTTCTGTTGGTACACAAGGCTGACTTAAAATAAACAACCTTTCTATTGCCTTACGCACTCTCTCATTTTTGGTGTCTCTGTCTCTTTTTGAGTGTGCTTTGCTGTTGTTGCCATGCTTGTTGTGCTGCATTGTTCAGGGGGGGATTTTCTTTCTTTTTTTTTTCTTTTTCTTGCACTCCTCTATTCTCTGGAGAAGCAGGGATGCTTTCCTGGGTGCAGTCAGTGATACGGCACAGAGCAGCTCTTTCAGTTTCATTATATAAACAGCTTTGATGCCTCTTCTTGTTCTCTCTGGTGTCTATGGGTAAGTGGCTTTTGGAGAGAGCTCTGGACTAGAGAGACAAGAGGTTTGTGTGCTTGTACATGAGTTCCCTGTATGTGTCTGTGTGTATATTATACAGTATGCTTTGTAGTATGTAAAGTGCTGCCCTGGCACTTCACGCTTTATCTGAGCTAAAACTTTAACATTGCGCCAATGAATTTGAACTCATTTTGAATTATGATCTGTGTGCATTACAGATACTTTTTTATTTCTTTCTTAAAAATGAACGTTGTCACAACTGTACGTGCACTGCAAAAACTGTTCACCTTACCAAGTTTTAAAATCTTTTATCTAGCCAAAGTCTTTTTGATCTTGTTTTGAGACTGCCGATGGAGTAAGACATTTTTACTTGGTAAGATTCATGAAATAAGAAAAAAATTGAGTCAAATCAAGAATTTCAAGAATCTTACCAAGTAATATTTTCTTACTCCATTGGCAGAAATTTTTTACTTAATTTGAGTCAAATTTTCAGACTAACAAGACAAATAATCTTACACATTCTGAAAACAAGGTTATTATTCTTACACAATCAGTTCTTGTTTAGTAAATCAGTCTCAAAACAAGATCAAAAAGACTTTTGGCTGGATATAAGATTTTAAAACTTGGTTAGGTGGACATTTTTGCAGTGTGATGTCACCTTTTAGATTATTGTCTTATGTTCGCTTTCTTCTTTTTCCTTCTGACTCAGCCCGTTGTTTTTGACTTACTTTTTTTTCCTCTATAATGCGCCTCTCATCTACTTTTCCTTTTATGACTCTCAATTTGACCTCCTCTTCCTTTCTTGGCTGTCTTCCTCTTTACGTTTGTTTTGTGTGGGCCTGGGAAGGATCATCTCCTTATTGCCTCAGGTGTGGTCAGCCAAACCAGGCATGACTGTTGTAATCAGTGGTGGGGACACACAGGCCGTGCAGGAAACTCACAATGCACACACGCACACATGCAGACAAACGCAGACCGACTCTTAAACACAGTATGTGGGAGGTCTTGAAATCATATCTAGTTGCAGCCACAGTGTTCCTCATCTAGACCTTGACCTTATGTAAGTGATGGGAATAACTAAAGGTTTGCAGGGAGCTGATGTCATAACCCACCCATGTGAAGGCGCCTTATCAAGGCAACACACTGTACTGTCCTTTTGTTCCTTCTTCATTCCCTCTTCCATCTCTCCAACCTTTCTGCAGCTCACCACAGTGGGAGCTGGCACAAGACTTTGTCTGCTGGGGATTACTCTGCCATCTCTCCTTTCTTGTCTTCGTTGTTTCCTCCCACTGAGCCTCAATCTAAGTCCCTTCCTTCCGCCCTGATCCCTCTCTTTCTTGGTTCATCGCCACAGTGTTTCCTCTGCACAAACAAACCGCAGACACAGTGGACACAGCTGCAGGATTTCTTTATCAGACTGTCCCATCAGTGGTCGCTGTCATGGTGAAGAAGGTTTGCTGCTTTGAAGGAAAAGACCATGGGAATTTTAGTTACTTTTGTTCATTTGCAGTAGAACTTTAACCCTAGCGTTAAATTGCAATCCAAAACCACTTTTTTATATTTTTAGAAAAATGTGTCATCAAGAAGTTTAATAAATTATACTTATTCACATTTAAATATATTCTGTTTTCTTTCCCCCTGCCTTTTTTCCTTCTTTGTGTCTCCTGATGTTATTTGCCAAATCCACTCCTCATGCTTGTCCTATAGTCTGATGTCGACAAAGCAGTGCTGCTTCCTGCAGGCATTTCATTAAAGCACTAATAACACATTGGTAATTAGGTGACAAAGGGTCTGTTTTTTTGTACTGATCAGCTGCTGAGACATAGTCCTTAGAGGACGACAAAGAGGGAGCATGCCTGCATGTGTGCAGTTTGTGTGTGTGTGTGGTCTGTGTATACTCTATTGTCTTTAAAAAATAGTAAGATGCTGTCTAGATCTTGTTGGATTGAACAGATACAGATGAGATCATCTAGGTGTAAAACAAGACATTAGATGGGTATTTATAATTACATTGTTCTTATACCACTGGAAATAAATCCTTGGAAAAATGTCTTGTGTTTTTTATCCCTTGTTCTATTTCCCTATTCCCCATTAGTTTTTCTTCTTATTCTATCAGATGGTTCTTGAGCCACCTGAGGCACAGCACACATAACATAGTGCAAATGAAATTCCCCGCGAAGCATATAGACATCATTAAACACTAGCATACCGAGGCCAAGAATCATTTTAGTTTTCATCAGACCAGCTGACATTTTGTAGAATTAGCTGCTGGAGGTTTGGTGGGGGATTCGTTGTTGTTTTAACTCCTCGATCCCTCCCTTTTCCATCCCACACAGAGACACGGGGTCAAATGGTAGCATCGATCATTTGATCCTGTCTGTCTCCTGGCCTTTGATTCGCTGTCATAAGGCTAATATTCATCACGCACCTAATCTTGTTTTTGGGTGTTGCTCTTTAAGCAGTAAATCAAGTTAGCATTAAGTTCGTTAGGGGCATAAAGATTGCAGCATTAGCTCGCTGTGATTGTCAAGATAATTTCTGTTTGACTTTAAATCAAAAGTCCCTTTTTTAAGTAATCGAGTTGCATTTGAACTTACCATTTCCAATGTACATGAACTTTAGAACAAATAGTTTAGAATTGTACGGAATTTCATTCTCTCATGGTTGACATTTCAGTATAGATAAAGAAATTGTGTGCGCCAAAACTTCCATAAGCTTATCGGGTCAGCCACAACCCTAAAGTATTATTTTGTTCTTGAATCACTTTTCGCTTTAAGGAAGAGTTCTGCATAATAAGCAGAGGAAATTTCTTCTTGATTGATTTTACTGAAAGATCAGCAGCTTGTAATTGTTGGGTTGGAATGGTATACTTTTTTATATTACAGTTATTGACAAATTATATTTAATGGATTGTGTAATCTGTATAGTCAGAATATATTTTCATCACTTCCACACATTTTTGACATTCGATCATCATTCCCTGCACTACAAGACATGGCAGTCTTTGGATGATCCTTGTTTGTTTTTGGAGTCAGTCATTTCGGCATGACTGGCACTCCGACATGCTTTGTAACAGTGGCGCCACTGCTGGCCTTTGGTTTCCTGATTTAGTAAGGCTGATGCTTCAAAAGCTTACAGAAGTAAGACTTCACAGCACAGCGTGACAGCACACTGCTCAGCTCTCCCCATGGTGCACCCACCCAACACAATATTGTTGTGACATAGACGGCACATGTGGCTTGTCTTACCGTAGGGGAACATCATCAATAGCTGCACCGCGGAACGCTCCTATTGGCTGTCTGCCGTCATCTGTTTGTGCTCTTTGAGTTCTTCATCTCACTCACACCTGATCAAGAATCAAAATCTGTTCCACAAAGTGCCTCTGTCTGTTCTCTGCTGAGCAGGATGTGGGGAAAAAAGAAAAGAGGGATAGAAAAAAAACAAAGAAAAGGGAAAAGAACGTTGTTAATGTCACTGAACCATGAAAGGCTTGGCCTGGGGTAGGAATGACTTTGTATACAAGGTTCTTTAGTGCTGTGGCTGCAGGGATAAACATAACTTACATCAGCCCTTCGCATGTACAGGAGATTTCCTCTCCTGGCACTTACAACCTCAACACTCTGACTGTACTGTGATACACACACAAACACACGCATGCACGCACCGCACACATTGTAAACCTGACTCTTTCAAGTAGTTCATGTGCACTCACACACAAACACTAGAGGGCAAGTGAGGGTTTAAAGTAGTGTTTTTTTTTTATTCTGTTTGTAAGCTTGAAACTGGATGCAGTTTCTTGTTCACACAGTTTGTCTTTGTTAAGAAGGATTTGATTTGCAGCAATAAAAGATAGTAATATCATCAGACACTAATATCAATGTAATGTCTGACTTTTTATATTTTGTGTGTTTTGTCTTTTTTTTTCAGATCATCACTGAGTATGTTTACGAGCTGTTGGAGAAAGACTGCAACTTGACTAAAGAAATGCTGCCAGTAAGTACCCATGGTGGAAGAAGGCATTTCTGATTTATGGCCTTGAAAATTAAAGGGGGTATTAAATATGAAAATGGACACAAATGCTTTGGCTTCATAGTGATATCAGTGATTATGATATTAGGTGTCCCTTTTAAAAAAATAAAGCAAATAAAAAGGGGATTGTACGATGTTAGCTCACAAATCTGAATCAGTTTTTTTCTGTTTCTCTGTTTTTCTCTTACTGTCTTTCTTCTCTCCTTTCCTCAATACACACCCTTTGTGCAAAAGTGTCTCCTCAACAAATTAAACTGTATTGTGATATGTCATTTCAAAAGAGGCGCAGCACGCCGATGCTTAATCTGTTTTGCATTCAGTTGCTCTGAGGGCGACTTTATACTCAGCCATTGTGGAGTTATTCTTTGTCCAGCTCATCCAGGCTCAGAGCACAGTCTTGATCCTTTTTTATTTGTTGTTGGGAGCTTGTTTGTCTTTTTTGCTCCCTTTTACCTCTACATTCATGGATTTTTTTCTTTCTTTTCTGTTTATGAAAGTAGTGATCATTTTTCAGCTTATTGCGATGTTAAGCAGCACTGCTGTTTAGAAGCATGCCAGAGTTAGTTCAAGCACTAACAGTGTTCATAAATCACCTCGCCAGAGTCAGCGCCTTTCATTAGCCCTTTTACACTTATACTGGTTTATCTGCTTGGCCTATTTATCTCATTATTCCTCTGGAAAATTGCTCTCTTATACTTCTCTGCTGCCCACCCGCCTGCATGTATATGGAAAGTGTATGTGTGTGTGTTTTGGCTGGCTAGTGGTGGGTCTGTCCACCTGCATGGCATTGAACTTGTGACAGCAGATTTTAAGAAGATTAACCACAGCCAAGTATAAGGAGAGGGAATGAAGGAGCACGGCAGAATAAAGGGTGAGATTTTCTCCCCCACTTGGCCCTCTTTGTCTGTTTGGATTAAGTTCTTGCAGCTGCCACCCATGGCTTTTATGGACAGTGTCTCCTTAGAGACTCTTCCAAGCATACTTGAGAGGGATGCAAAAAAAAAGCATGGGACATAGATGGAGCGCTGGCACACCCACAAACACTCACACTCTCTCTGTCAACGTTACTTTGTGCAAGTGTTTTAACAACACAAAGATTAATTTCTGGTTATTGATGCGTAAAATATTGATGCATTGAGCCCAGAAAGGAGAGCAAATATTTCTGCACAACTCAGGTGCCTTAAATAAGGCATGGTTTCAGTAACCACTATTAGATTTTTTTTAAGATAAGGCATCATATGTGTGACCCATCCTATCGAAATGAGGATTAAGTCAAATTTGGTCAAAATGACCTAATTACAATTTCTGATTCTTGGTTTTAAAAGCTATATTTTGATACCTGGATCATTCTGATATAATAAGTAAATCCATATATATGACTTAATTTGCATTGTTGGTTACAATAATACAGAAATATTTGGTCCGAATCCTAATTTTGTGTATTTTAATGAGGAATTTTTGATGTCCTTATAAAGAGGAAACTTCAAATTACATTTGAATATTGAGATTTCCCAGCTAAAAAGAAACAAAACTTTGCTAGCTCACGGGGAAAATCTCAAAATTTAAAGGCATTTTTCCTCAAAATCAGGGTTTTGTTGCTACTGCTAAAAAATGCTTCAAAATTTAGTTTTATGATTATATTTCAGATAGTTCATTCATATGACAGATTTATTCATTATATTTTGACAAAATGCAATTTTTGTTAACATTTTAGCCAAAACACTATATTTGCCTTTTTCTCCTTATACAACTTTTGGACTTAATCCTCGTTTCGATGTGTTGGGTCACATATATTAATTTAAATCTATTGTCGGACTGTAGATTTGCGTCTTTAGATTGGAAGTTCACATTAACTTGTAATTTGCTTATTTCTCAGGTTGATGCTACAGAAGATGAACCCACCAGTTTTATCTACCTGAGCCCAGATGCCTTGTCAAACCCATCCAAGCTGCTGGTGCTGATTCAGGGTAGTGGTGTGGTGCGGGCCGGCCAGTGGGCCCGAAGACTAATCATCAACCAGGACCTGGACTCAGGGACGCAGATCCCCTTTATTAAAAGAGCCATGAAGGTAGGAGCTCAACTTGTCTGGTTGATTTCCTAATTTGTGTTTTATATTATTGTTATAAAAATGACTAATATAGATCCCCAGCAATGAAATAGCATTTCAAACAAAGGCTTCATTTTAGCTGTGTTAGTAAAGATGTGCTACAGTGTTTTGTTTTTCGTGTATTTAACTTGTCGTTTGACTGTGACTGTGAGTAATTTTTGTCGCTGCGTGCCTTATTACCTTTGACTCTTCATATACTGTCAACCTAATCCAGTTTAGCCGCATTGTACAATTTACACGAGTGTGCAGTGGAAAGAAAAGTTTGCCCCAGGGTCATAAGAGAAATTACATGATGATGAACAATTTCAACACTCCACAGCATCACACATTCCCAGGGGCCAAAACTAAGAACGGAGCATTCATTCACAGGTGCAAACATAAACTCATACTCTCAAATGATTCTTTAACTACACACAACTGAAGCTTTTTTTTTTGTCGGGTTTGTGAAATGAAGCATATTTGTCTACGCGATCATTATCATACAAGAAAACATTTATACATTCTCATGATGCATGATTCTTGTGTCGTCTTGTGTGTTCATGGGTGATTGAGCTGAAACAGAGAAAAAGATAATGTAATATGAAATATAGATTAGTTTTTTCTTCCCCGACCATATGATCACCAACAAAGGTACACATCTCTGTGTCAGCAGCCGAAAGGTGGATCTGCCTGTCCTATTATTTTCATCTCCATCTTTGTGCTCATTTGTCAGCATGGCCACGACTATCTGTGTAATTTAATAGGGCCTGCTGTTCAAATTGACTTTGGGGGTTGGGGGTGGGGGGGGGGGATGCTGTTCTCCCCTTCTCTTTTTCATTCCTTCATTTCATCCACCTGAATACCATAAAGACTTTACCTGCTGTGTAAAGCTCTCTCTTGCTGTGTTCGACAATGTGAGAGGTTAAAGTTGCACATCTGTCTATGTGTTTTTTTTTACATGGCTGAACCAAACTGCCTTGTACAGTCTTGCTGCTTTTTTACAGATAGAAAGGTAAGACTTGTGCCTCACAGAGGCAAAGTGACAGCTCTGATATAGAGAACATGGTGTGTGTAGTGTGAGTGTTGCCCATTCATCACAGTAAACAAGAAATCATGTTCGTGCACCCTGACAAATTATCTTCCAGGCATGTAGTACACACACACACACACGCCTTGTAGTCTGTCTGTGTGCTGGGGAAACAACCACACACATTTATAGTCGATTCATATTGTCTGCAACTGTTACAGTTTGTGGTTTATTATGTCATACTGTGAAATTTGCCTTGATGTCTTTTGGAGCACATGCGTACAGGATGAAGCTGCCATATCATCGGAGGCAAGAGCTAATGGATGGAAATTTCATTCAAAATTTACAAATTAGCAACTTTATATACACAAAAAGTCATATGACATTTGCTTTATTCCTACTTTTTTCTTGGCCGTGATTATGGTGTTTCAGTGTGTTTAAGGTTTGTGTCAGATCTTTGTGGAGGTTTATGCGGTATAAAGTTAAACATTATACTTTACCTCGCAGCACAAAAACAGATTTGGTATGTAAATAGTGAACTTTGTAAAATGATGAAAAGGACAAAAAGTTGTCATAAGCTCACAGTTTTTCAAATAATAAAGGTTTGCAGCAAGGGTTTTTCCAAGCACGTTTTTCATCAATCTTTCCATGCAGATTTTCCTTATCTGCTTAACTTGTATTTTCTTTGAGCAGGCTAATAATTCATCATTCTGGCAAATGGTACTCTGTAAGGTTACTGACTTTCATTGATAATACAGCACAAAGAAAAAAGTTTATCATGAACCTTACCTTTCATTATTCCAAGTTAAAAAATCTACTAAGTCACTGTTTAAAATACATCTCTGGTGGTTAGCCTAAAGCCAGTCTGACTTCAATCCTGTTATCTTTGTTGATGCATAGGTGAGATTTAAAATTTGAAAATACTTATTTACCAAGACAAGAATAATATCCTTTAATAAAATAGTTCTGTTTGTTTTACAGCTATTTTTGTAAAATCCCTAATATGGTTATTATATCCATTTTTTGTACAGTGTCTCTCTGGCTGATTTTTTATGTATTCATCTGCATATATGATCTGCAAAAAGTTATTTATTTGATGTTTTGCAAAAAAAATAATCCAAATGGAATCCTGTTATTTGTTTGACTTAAGAAACCCATGGCTTGTTGGTCCCAAAGCTATCTGTCAGCACTAGCCGGCCCAACTTTTCAGGAGTTAGCAATAAACAAATGTGTCACTACCTCGCACAGAATTTTTAAACAAATGCACCAATATGAAATTTTCAGCAGATATCGATATCCAATATAATTATTGCTTTTATGGCTGATAACCAATATTTACCAACATTACACAAACACACAAACTGTTTACATTATTCAGTATCACTATCATGATAAACAGATACTACTTGACCAACCATTTCCCCTCCTAAAACAGAAACACAAAGCTAAAAAGTGGGAAATCAATATTGGATGTTAATATCGGCCCTGTTTTACTTATCGGACTGATACCAATATTTTAAAAGATGACCATCAGCTGATACAGATATTAATGCTGATATATCATGAATCCCTAGTTTTTTTTGTTTTTTTTCACCTCGCTTGAAGGTTAAGAGGCATAATAGACGGGGATATCTCTACTCCCCCACCTCCTTTGTTTCTCTTCTGAATGGGCTGTAGTGGTCAGAACATGTGTCAGTAAAGTTAGGGAGCATCTTCTGAAGGAGCCAAGCACATTTATGTCCCAGTTTTCATAGTAGCCTTGTAGAACTTTGGAGCATCAGCCCACGTGACTCATACCATCATAAACTTTATATACTGTCACCATATTTAAATACCGAGGTACACCAAATTACCCTCATCCGGCCCAAGCGTATCCACAAAGCATTTTTTTTTTACCAGATTACGTCTAATTTACCAAACTGCTATGATGGCATGTTAATGTCCTTTCAGAAAAAGAGTTTAGGTTAAATATAAGTCTAAATTGTGTACAAACAGACTCCTGCAGACAGAGGAAACAGACACACATAGACACTAGTGTGTCACATCAGGTAAATGATGTGCCAGTGACATTTGGCATAGTGTGTACAGTAATACTGAGTAAGGAAAAAAAGTGCTGTCTTTGCAGGCATCTTGCATCTTGCCTTTATGTGCATGTGTATGTGTGTGCACACAGATGAGGTGTTACTCCCAAAGCCTAGAGGTAAAATGACAGGTGTGAGGAGGAGAGGAGGTTGCTCCGGCATCAACCAAAAGATGGAGGGGAAACAGAAAGAAATCTGAGATGGGAAGCGGGGGTGTTACAAGTGAAGAGAGAGAGAGAGAGAGAGAGAGAGAGAGAGAGAGAGAGAGAGAGAGAGAGA